GAGACGACGAAAGAAGAAGGCACAGGGATGGAGGCAGTGATCCGTTGGGGAGACTTGAGAGAGGACAGCTCCTATCCCAGTGTCAGAGGCGTCGACTTCCAGGGTGAATTGGATTGAAGTGTCGGGGCGAGTGAGTATGGGTGCTTGGGTGAAACAGTTCTTAAGAGAGTGAAAAGCCTGGTCTGCTTCCTGGGACCATGAAAAGGGTCAAGTTCCTACGCTCTGAAAGGAGCGCTGGCAATAAAATTCTTCTGATTCTGATTCTTGATGGAGGTTAGCTGTGTGAGAGGTGTGGCGATCTGGCTGTAGTTTCTAATAAAACGGCTGTAAAAGTTAGCGAAGCCTAGAAATCGTTTTAGTTGCTTACGTGTTGAGGGGGTTGGCCATGTCTGAATGGCATCTACTTTGTCAGGGTCCGTCCTCAGCCGACCACTCTCCAGAACAAACCCTAAAAACTTGACGGAGGAGGCGTGGAACTCACTTTTCTGCCTTAACGTACAATCAGTTCTCGAGGAGGTGTTGGAGGACCGCTCAGACGTGTTGTCGGTGTTCTGGAAGGGTTCTAGAAAAGATAAGTATATTGTCCAGGTAAACTGTAATGAATTTGTTGATATAGTCACCTAGTACGGAGTTGACCAGAGACTGAAAAACTGCAGGGGCGTTGGTGAGTCCAAAAGGCATGACTAGATATTCGAAGTGGCCAAGTGGTGTCCTGAAGGTTGTTTTCCACTCGTCCCCTTCACGGATCCTTACCAGGTGGTAGGCGTTTCGTAGGCCTAGTTTGGTGAAAATAGTTGCATCATTTACCGGTTCAAAAGTAGAGAACAGCAAGGGCAAAGGATATTTGTTTTTATGGTGATCTGGTTGAGGACTCTGTAGTCGATGCATGGACGGAGCGACCCGTCCTTCTTGGACACGAAGAAGAACCTAGCCCCCAGGGGGGACGTGGACGGCCTTATGGTTCCTGAGGCTAGGGACTCTGAAATGTATTTAGATATACACTCTTGCTCTGGTTTTCAAAGATTGTACAGTTTACTTGTTGGTAGAATGGCATCGGGGACGAGGTCAATTCCGCAGTCATGGGGCGATGAGGAGGCAGGGAGGATTCCCGGTCCTTGCTGAAGACTTGTAGCAGGTTGTAGTACTCAGAGGGAACTCCAGGTGGTTCCTGAGCCGGGTTCTTGGTGATCTGGATGTGGAGAGGAGCTGAGAGGAGACAGTGAGACAAACAAAACGGCTCCAAACTGACACTGACCCGGTTTTCCAGTCAATCTGAGGGTTATGTGAAACCAACCATTCATGTCCTAGCACCACTGGAGACTGTGGAGACGGAAACACATAAAAGCTTAGAGTCTCAAGATGATTACTGGAGATCAACAGGCTTATGGGCACGGTGCGATGGGTTATGGTGGTTAGGGCGTAGCCATCGAGCGAGGCGGCGAGAATGGGTGTAAGGAGAGGAGTAGTAGGAATGTTGTTGTTGTTTATGTTGTTTATGTGTTGTTTATGTGCTTAGCAGACGCTTTTACCCAAAGCGACTTACAATTTTTTTTAACCTATAGGGAATGTTCAGTTGTTGTACCACCTCTTGGTCCAGAATATTCCTTTCACACCCAGAGTCCACGAGTGCCTTGGTAGGGAATGTTTGCAGGTGGAACGAAACAGTACAAGTTAAGCTGCAATGGGAATTTTGAGCACTACGAATCCCACCCACCAGTAATCCCAGTCCTACTGGTGGGCTGTGGTTTTTGGCCGAACAGGACAGTTATGGATTAAGTGGTCAGGCTGACCACAATAGAGGCAAAGGCCCAGGGAACAGCATCTCATTTTCTCCTCGGAAGTTAACTGCGCTCGTCCGATTAGCATGGGTTCATCTAACCCCGAAGGAAGGAGGTGCTGTTGAGGTGTTTGATGGGGATGTTGCTGTGAAGCAGTGGTTGAAGGTGGCCTGAACGTCGAAGTCTTGTCTTTCCTTAAGGCGTTTCTCAATGTTAGAGGCGAGGTTGATAAGGGACTCGAGGTTCTCGGGTTCCTGGCAAAACGCGAGCTGATCTTTTATCTTATCGGTCAAAGCCTGAGAGAAAGCGGCTTTTAGATAAGTCTCGTCTAAAGTTGAAAATGGAAGCCAAAGTGCGGAATTCTACAGCGAAATTGAGGACTGACTGTTTACCCTGCTGGAGATTCCAAATCTGTTTTGCGATTTCTGCGGAAGACTCCTTCCAAAAAGTTGTTTGAACTCAGCTAGAAAAGCCGAGAGCAGACCTCGCAGGAAGCTAGCCTGCCGGCTCTTAGCCTCGGCCCATTGCAGAGCCCTACCCCAGAGTAAACCGACTATGTACGAGATTTTAACCGAATCAATTATGAAGGTGTCTGGTGACCTTTCAAAGTCTAACTGGCAGAGTAGTAGGAAACAGCGGCATTTACCTGGCTCGCCAGAGAATGTATCAGGCTGTGGCGACTCGGCGACCCGGAAACTAACCCCATGTTGCTGAACCGGAAGTGGCAGTGGAGATGAAGCTATGGAAGTAACGGGCGGAGGCAGCATAGAAGTGAGTCTTTCATTCATTTGGTGTAAGGCGGTGTTGAGCTGGAAAAGACATTGATTAGCGGCGGATAATTGGTCGAGTACTGACCGGATGGAACTTTCATGCTGGGACAAGGTATTGGCTATGGCGACAGGAAGCGGTTCTTCAGAGGATGTATTCATTTGGCCGGTTGATTCTGTCATGTTGTGGGCAAGGTGCTTAACCCAGGACATGAAGAACCACACGTGAAAACCAGGTAAGTAAAAGAGTAAACTATTTTATTAAATGAAGCAAAGGAAAAACTAAGGGAGCTGCTCCAGAAAAGCAGGAACAGGAATGGACCAGAAATCTAAAACGAAAGAATAAACAATCGTGAATACGAGGCGGAACCAGAGAACCAAGAGAATAAGTTTGGTGTTTGAATTGTTCTTACGTCTTAAACCAGTTCTTAGCGGTGGTGGACTGGTGAAGTTCAGTGGAGGAGAGGCAGCAGGTCCAATGGTAGTAGAGGAGGTGGACAGGAATAGGTTGTGTGAGTCCAGGGTGTAGGTTGGCAGGCAGGCAGGCAGGCAGAGCGATGGAGGGTGGAGGCCAGAGGATCTGAGCGACGGGACGAGGAAAACAACTCCAGGCATGGTTAGAGGATGCGAGAAGCAAGTTCGTTGGAAGATCAGGTAATGTACTGGGCTAGAAGCTACCCTGGTGAGAGTCTCAACCAGCGCTGGAGTTGTGTCACACCGCTCCTTAAATGCCCTAGCCCTCTGATTAGCAGAATCAGGATCAGCTGGAGCTCATGCCACGCCCACCTGCAACACAAACAGCTGACTGCCAGGTTACCTCACCTGCTGATAGAGGCAGACCGTGACAACGACAGACACCAACGATCCTGCGACCACAGCTCCGGTCAGCTGCCTCAACAATGGAGGCACGGAACGGGGTCCATTCAGACTCAATGTCTCCCGCCTCCCCTGGAACATTTTGGAAATGCTGTCGGAGGTGGGAATTGAAGCTCCTTCTGACAGGAGACTCTGCCAGACATTCCCAGCAGACCCTCGCGATACGTTTGGGCCTGCCTGGTCTGACTGGCATCCTCCCCCACCATCTGAGCCAACTCACCACCAGGTAGTGGTCAGTTGACAGCTCTGCCCCTCTCTCCACCCAAGTGGCCAAGACATGCGGCCGCAGGTCAGACGAAACAACAACAAAGTCGATCATCGAGCTGCGGCCTAAGGTATCCTGGTGCCAAGACCACATATGAACACCTTTTTGTCTGAACATGGTGTTCATTATGGACAATCCATGACTGGCACAGAAGTCCAATAACAAAACACCACTCGAATTCAGATCGGGTGGCCGTTCCTCCCAACCACACCTCTCCAGGTCTCACTGTCATTGCCCATGTGAGCGTTAAAGTCCACCAGCAGAACGAGGGAGTCACAGAAAGGAGCGCTTTCCAGCACCCCCTCCAAGGTCTCCAAAAAGGGTGGGTAGTCTGAACTGTAGCTTGATGCATAAGCACAGACCACAGTCAGAACCCGTCCCCCCACACGTAGGCGGAGGGCTGCTCGGCACCTCTCAGTGGGAGCAACTCCAGAGTGGTAGAAAGTCCAACCCCTCTTAAGGAAACTGGTTCCAGAGCCAGAGCCATGCGTTGAGGTGAATCCGACTATATCTAGTCGGAACCTCTCAATCTCACACACCAACTCAGGCTCCTTCCTCACCAAAGAGGTGACATTCCATGTGCCAAGAGCCAGCTTCTGTAGCCGAGGATCAGACCGCCAAGGTCCCCACCCTCGACTACCACCCGTCACACACTGCACCCAACCCCTTTGGCCCCTCCCACGAGTGGTGAGCCCATGGGAAGGGGGACCCACGTTTCCTCTTCGGGCTGTGCCCAGCCGGGCTCCATGGGTGAAAGCCCGGCCACCAGGCCCTCGCCAATGTACCCCACCTCCAGGCCTGGCTCCAGAGGGGGGCCCCGGTGAGCCACGTCTGGGCGAGGGAACACGGCTTCCATTTATATAATTCACCATAAGAGGTCGAAATTATAAAATAAAAAAATACACTGAACGGCCACTTTATTAGGTCCACTTCCCCAGTACCAGGTTGGACCCTTTCTACCTTCAGAACCACCTTCTTTCCTGCTTTTGTTGTGAATGTGTGTGTGTGAATGGGTATCAATGGGTGTGAGAATGTGTGTGGATGTGTGTATGAATGTGTGTGTGAATGGGTGTGTAAATGGGTGTGTGAATGTGTGTGTGAATGGGAGTGAATGTGTGTGTGTGAATGGGTGAATGACTGATTGTCTTGTGAAGCACCTTGGGGGGTTGTAGAACAAATACAGGTTGTTTACTATTTGCTTTTTAATTCTGTTTTTCACTATTTTCATGGTTTTAACAAAATAAATAAAAGTTTACCAAACTTCCACTAAGAGTTCAGGGTCGATAAAGTCCTGATGAACGTTTTAAAACCCACCTCATCCAGGCAGCGCTCATACTGTTTCCTCTGGTTGTCGTTTTCCACCGACAGCGCCGAGTTCTCTGCCTGCAAAAACACCTGAATTCAGCCATCGTGTTGTCACCAAAGTAAAAACATTTTCGCTGCAGAAACGTGTTTTTTGTTTTAGAAGTGGCTCCTAAACTCGCCCGACCACCATAAATCCTACAGCGGCGTCCTGAGCTGCTCTGGAGCTATCGCCGACTCTTCTGAATCACACATGCAGAAACAAAAATGACTGATCGCAGGTTAAACTATGATCACCTTCTGTCATTTAAATCAGAGCTGAAACTCTGAGATGATCTTAACAAGCACCAACGACTGTACCTCTGGAATAATTCAGATGAATAAATCATAGAGGGATCATTGGCACTAATTTCAGAGTTTCTACAGTGAAACTAAAAAGACTGACAGTTTAATGGATCAGGCCTCAAGCTTCATCCTTTTACTGATCACTCACTTTTATTTGGCCAGAATAAAGAATGCCTTTACTGTGCATACATGATCACTGATCACTGCTGGAAGCTGATTGGCTGCACCTGGGGGTAAGGCGTTTCCTGTTTCCTGTTTTCAGTGTTGCACTACGTGTAGCTGTTTGGTGTTTAGGGCTTGCTAAAACTGATTTAATTTCTCTGTACTAGGATATCTCTGAGTTATTGTAGCACATAAGCACGCAAAAACACACATTTTCTGTTGTTCCACCTAGCTTTTAGGGAACCATTTGAGTTCGCACGCAGTTTATTTGGTGTGGAACAATTTGCTCGTCCAGTTAGCTTAGCCTCAGAACGGCTATGGCTACTTCTGTCTCTGCCTCTCTGTCTCCTAACTCTTGCTCTCTGTGTGAGATGTTTAGTTACTCCTCTGCCTCCTTTAGTGATAATGGTACGTGTAATAAATGTAGCATTTTTGTAGCTTTGGAGGCGAGGGTGTCGGAATTGGAGTCCTGGCTCCGTGCTGTTGAAAAACCCGTAAACAGCCGTAGCTACTTAGCTAGCGCGGGGCTAACTAGCACAGAACAACCCTGTAGCGATCCTCCAGCAGAACCCGAGCAGCCGGGACCTCAGGCCGGCTGGGTGACGGTACGCAGGAAGCATAGAACCCAGCCCGTGGGCCACCACCAACCCGTCCACGTTTCTGTTAAGTATCAGAATAATATGCTCTGTTATGTATTGTATCTTTGTAAATATGTAAATAAGAATGTGTATATGTATATGCTTTTATTTTGAAAAGCAACTGTAGAGGAAGTTGAACTTTGACCTCGTGGAATGACCAATAAAAAGGGAGCATTGGTGTTTTGTAGGTGCAATCAGTGTGTGCTACCACCAGTGAAGGACCGTTGAAACAGACGCTCTTTTTATGGATTTATTTCCTCCTTTTTAATCCTGGAGATTCGTTAGGGAGTCTTGGACCAACCGCTGGGTAAATCAAACTCATGCTAACAATAGATTTTCCCCGCTCAGTGACACACCCACTGACAAGCCGACTCTGATCATTGGCAGCTCCATAATCAGAAACGTGGCATTAGAGGCTCCAGCAACCATAGTTAAATGTTTACCTGGGGCCAGAGCGGGCGACATTAAATCTTATCTGAAACTGCTGGCTAAGGATAAGCGTAAATACAGTAAGATTGTTATTCACGCTGGTGGTAACGACACCCGGTTACGCCAATCGGAGGTCACTAACATTAATGTTGCTTCAGTGTGTAAGTTTGCCAAAACAATGTCGGACTCCGTAATTTTCTCTGGCCCCCTGCCCGATCGGACCAGTGACGACACGTTTAGCCGCATGCTGTCCTTCAACCGCTGGCTGTCTAGGTGGTGTCCTGAAAACAACGTGGGCTACATTGATAATTGGAAAACTTTTTGGGGAAAACCTGGTCTGATGAGAAGAGACGGCATCCATCCCTCTTTGGATGGAGCAGCTCTTCTTTCTAGGAACATGGCCAGTTTTATTAGTCCTCCATGACTACCCAGGGTCCAGACCAGGAAGCAGAGTCGTAGTTTAACCCACCCCTCTGCAGCTTCTGTACTGTTACCCACCCACTACCCCATAGAGACAGTGTCCTGCCCACGGCCAAAATCACACAGATTAAATATCAGGCTTAATAAAGCAAATCATGGAAATCTCATAAATATTAGAACAAATTCAACTGAGCAGAAAACTAGAATAATTAAATGTGGGTTGTTGAACATTAGATCCATTTTTTCTAAGACTTTGTTAGTTAATGACTTGATTTGTGATAATCAGATCTCTTTGCTCTCTCTCTCACAGAATCCTGGCTGCAGCAAGAGGACTATGTTAGCTTAAATGAGTCGACTCCTTCAAATTATTTAAATCATCATATTGCTCGAAGTTCAGGGCGAGGAGGAGGAGTAGCAACCATTGTTCATTCGGACTTATTAATCAGTCCCTTACCAATTAATAGCTACAGTTCGTTCGAACATCTTATTCTTAGTTTTCCTAATCCAGATTGCAAAACTGTAAAACCACTCTTGTTTGTAGTTTTATATCGTCCACCAGGCCCTTACTCTGAGTTTTTGGATCAGATCTCTGATTTTTTATCTGATTTGGTGCTAAATACTGATAAGGTCATTGTAGTGGGGGATTTTAATATTCATGTGGACATTGAAAATGATTGCCTCAATGTAGCCTTTAGTAATATCTTAGACTCAATTGGTTTTACTCAAAGAATACATAGCTCCACCCACTCCTGCCATCATACATTGGACCTTGTGCTGACTTATGGCATAGAGTGTGAGGAAATAACGATCTTTCCACATAATCCAGTCCTCTCGGACCACTTTCTGATAACCTTTGCGTTTTTTATAACTGAGTTCTCGAGACATGAAAGTAAACTTCACTATAATCGGTCTCTATCTGACAATGCTGTTGCATCTTTTAAATCAACTGTTCCATCTTTACTGTCCTCAGGATCTCAGAGGCATATAGCAGAGGGCAATATTTTCAGTTCTAGCCCCTCATAAACTGATGCCTTAGTTCAGTGGTTCCCAAACTTATTTAGCCGCGCACCCCCTTCTATGCCCCGACCATGTCAACGCACCCCCCAGCCCCACATCAGGGCATGGCTATATATATATACATATATCAGACGTCAAGCTAAACAGACAGGGTTAAAAAAATATGATCGACCTTTATCCCCATCACTTTCATTTTTTAAATAGTAATTAATAAACATTCGATACCATTACAATTTCCTTTGATTTAATTTTAAATAAATATTTAGAGTGCCCAGGTAGCACATAAAAAATGCAATTTAACAGTTTTCTTAAAGTAGGAACGTTTAACATGTGCGGCCAGAGTGCTCTCCTTCCTTCTGCTCTGCGTAAACCTGAACTGGTCACCTACTTGTGCGTAATCAAATGTATTTAGGGGAGAAGATGATAAAGATATAGCCATGAGGTTCACTTTTGCCTCAGACTGACTTATTGCTGTTTTACGGTGTGGCTGAATCTGCGATACGCTGCCACACGGACTGGAATAACAAATGCTGCAGTAACGGCGTGGCACGTGTGCTTATTGAATTTGTGTGTGTGTGTGTGTGTGTGTGTGTGTGTGTGTGTGTGTGTGTGTGTGTGTGTGTGTGTGTTCATCATGTTAATTCCTCTTTACGTGTGGCATTAGATGATGTTGTCCCTTTAAAAAAGAAGGTAATTAGGGACAGGAAGTTGGCTCCCTGGTTTAATTCTCATTTACGAGCCTTAAAACAAAACTCTAGGAAATTGGAGAGAACATGGCGCTCTACGCACCATGAGGAGGCCTACCTATCCTGGAAAAATAGTCTTGTGCTTTATAAAAAATAAGCTTCGACAAACTAGAACTGCTTATTTTTCAGCGTTAATTGAGGAGAATAAGAATAATCCTAAATTTCTTTTCAGTACAGTTGCTAAACTTACACAGAATCATAGCTCTGAGCCATCTATTCCCTTAGCCCTCAGCAGCAATGACTTCATGGGATTTTTCACAAGTAAAATTAATTCTATTAGAAACAAAATCTTTAGCATCCTCCCTAATGCGATTTCTTCTTCCTCAGTAAGTGAGGCAGCTTCAGAGGTGACTGTAGAACCTCATCTGTGCTTGAACCGTTTTGATCCAGTTGAGCTTTCAGAGTTATCAAAAATATTAGCTTCATCTAAATTTTCAACTTGCATTTTAGATCCAATCCCAACCAAATTATTTAAAGAAGCATTTCCTTTGGTTACTGCCCCCATTCTAGATATAATCAATCTATCCTTAGTAAATGGATATGTACCAAAGAATTTTAAGGTTGCTGTAATCAAACCTTCACTCAAGAAGCCTTCTCTGGATCCAGAATACCCAATGAATTATAGACCAATATCTAACCTTTCATTTTTATCCAAAGTCCTGGAGAAAATAGTGTCCATCCAAGTATGTCAGCATTTAAACACTAATGCTCTGTTTGAGGAATTTCAGTCTGGTTTTAGAGAGTATCACAGCACTGAAACTGCATTAGTGAGAGTTACAAATGATATTCTCATGGCCTCGGATAAGAATCTTGTGTCTGTTCTAGTCTTGTTAGATCTCAGTGCTGCATTTGACACAGTTGATCACAATGTTCTTTTAGAAAGACTTGAACATGTTGTAGGGATCAAAGAAACAGCGTTAGGCTGGTTTAAATCCTACCTGTCTGACAGATTTCATTTTGTAAATGTACATGACAAATCTTCTTCATACTCCAAGGTTACTTGTGGAGTACCACAGGGTTCAGTGCTTGGACCAATTCTTTTTACTATGTATATGCTCCCAATTGGTAAAATCATTAGACAGCATGGGATAAACTGCCACTGTTATGCTGACGATACTCAGTTATATTTATCCATTAACCCTGATGAACCTAATTGGTTGGGTTGATTACAGGCTTGTCTTGAGGACATAAAAAATTGGATCACTCTAAACTTTTTGCTGTTAAATCAAGACAAGACGGAAGTTCTCATCTTTGGACCAGAAATCTAGAAAAGGAAATTGCTTAGCCAATCACCTGACCTGAATGGCATTACATTAATCTCCGAGAACAAAGTAAGGAACCTTGGTGTTATCTTTGACCAGGACATGTCATTCAAATCCCAGGTTAAACAGGTTTGTAGGATTTCCTTTTTCCATCTTCGGAATATTGCTAAGATTAGAAGCATCCTTTCCAGGAGTGATGCTGAAAAACTAGTTCATGCATTTATTACATCAAGACTGGCTTACTGTAATTCATTACTCTCAGGAAGTCCACAGAATGTAGTTAAAAGTCTTCAGCTTGTCCAAAATGCTGCAGATAGAGTTCTGATGAGAATTAAAAAGAGAGATCATATCTCTCCTGTCGTAGCTTCCCTACATTGGCTACCTGTTAAATTCAGAATAGATTTTAAGATCCTCCTTCTCACTTATAAAGCTCTTAATAATCAAGCTCCGTCATACATCAGTGATCTGATTGTTCCATATGTTCCTAACCGAGCACTTCGCTCTCAGACTGCAGGTGTACTGGTGGTTCCCAGAATATCTAAAATTAGGATGGGAGGCAGATCTTTTAGTTATCAGGCTCCTCTCCTGTGGAATCAGCTCCCAGCCTTAGTCCGTGAGGCAGACACTTTGTCTACTTTTAAGACTAGGCTTAAAACATTTTTATTTGATAGGGCCTATGGTTAAAATCTGATGTTAGCCTAAATCTGGACAAGTGGGGGAGTACAGGGAGGTGGAGTGTACAGTCGGTAAAGACGGCTCTCCCTTGCCCTGACTCCAACATGCCTCCATCTAAATAGGATAGATTAGCCAGAGTTATCTCTGTAGTTATGCTGCTATAGGCTTAGACTGCTGGAGGATACACTGACCACTTTTCACACTCTACTACTTTCTTCTACAATGTGCTCTTTAACTGTATTATTTCCTGCTATTTCAGCTGTTAACTTTATTTTCTCTCTAAGTGTTTTCTCCCCAGAAGAAGCTACAATGATGTTCTACTGAGCTGTGGTGGCCTCATGGAGGGGGCCATCGTCTAGCACACTGCTGCTAACCACTTAAACATTCTCCCTCTCCTGATAATAACTTTTTGCTTTCCTTGACGTTGGATGTGCTAATACTAGTTTATCCGTTTAATTATAGATCCACTAGGATAAATACAATAAAGTTTATTGTATCTCTCACCAAATAGAATATTTACTAAGACATCACAATAACTATAGTCACATTACTTTGTCTTGTGTGTGTGTGATTGTGTGCGTGAGTGCGTGCGTGCGTGCGTGTGTGTGTGTGTGTGTGTGTGTGTGTGTGTGTGTGTGTGTGTGTGTGTGTGTGTGTGTGTGTGTGTGTGTGTGTGTGTGTGCATGTGTGTGTGTGTGTGTGTGTCTACTCTGTCTTCTCGATCCCCAGTGAGTGGTGGAGGATGGCTGCTTATACTGAGCCAGGATTCTCTGGAGGTTTCTTCCTTTTAAAAGGGAGTTTTCCTCTCCACTGTCGCTAAAAGCATGCTTAGTATGAGGATTGCTGTATAGTCACTGACACTAGTCAGTGACTTGATGCAATTTGCTGGGTTCCTTATATAGGAAACATTATTTCTGATTGGCTTAATGAACTGACCTGAATTGGAATGTTTATTATGTGAAGTGCCTTGAGACTACTCTTGTCGTGATTTGGCGCTATATAAATAAACTTGAATTGAATTGAATCACTTTAGTCTCATTAATGTTTTACATGTTTAACGAGATTGGAGATACAAGCGGCTGAAGTGAGTTTTCTCCTGGACGCGTCCCTGGTGAGGTTTTACGGGCACGTCCAACCAGGAGAAAACCTAAAGAAAGACCCAGGAGACACTGGAGGGACTATGTCTCACGGCTGGCCAGGGAATGCCTTAGGATTCCCCGGAAGGAGCTGGCCCAAGTGGCTGGGGAGAGGGAATTCTGGGCCTCCCCGCTTAGGCTGCTGCCCTCGCGGCCCGATCCTGGATAAGTGAACAATAATGGATGGATGTGCTTTTATGCTGGGCAAGAAGAAAAATTCCAAATGAAATCATTTGAATGTTTATAATTTTATAAATCTGATTTTTGTGGCCTGAGATGACTTTTATCTTCCTGATTTTGTCTGATTTATCTCAATTTTAAAGTAACTTTGATGCTTTTAAATGATCTTCTTTAGCTGAACAAGAATAAAATACAAAAAGCTCATCAGGTCTTATTAATCTTTATTTTATCAGGATTCACCAGATCAGCAGATTCTCTTTACTTTACAACCCTTTAATTTGGTTTTGTGTTTTTAACCTAAAATGTTTAAATCATAATAAAATCAATTGTCATTTGTATAAACTTTTTATTTAATAACAATTCCAGTTAGGAAATGCTGATAAAATAATTGGCTGAAATATAAATGTTACTGAAAGTAGCACAGTTGGAACTATGACAGTAACTTTAATCTCACTACTCTAATAGAAAATGTAAGTTTAGATTAGTTGTTGCAGAGAAAGTAATCAGATTAAAGTAACAAATTACTGGCAACACTAATGAGGACAAAAGAAGAAATGTCTAACTGTGATGAATTACCATCTTTGATCAAACCCCAGGATGAATCTGTCACACCTGCTTTGTTTATAATCCTCTTCTCTAGCAGTCCCTGAGATCCCAGCTGGTACAAATCCACCTGTTCTTCCTGCAGAATCCAACTGGCATGTTTTATTTGAGCAGTGACTGAACAGGAGCAGGAAAAGAGGTGGAAAACCAGGAATATCTGGTGTGTGATGTTGATGTTATACCTCCAGTGCTCGGAGGCGTTCCAGCAGGGTGCTGCTGTCCTCTGATCCGTCTCCAGCCTCCGGTGAAGCGGGCGTCTCTGTGGCAGTGGGACCCTCCAGACTGTCCTGCTGTTTCCACATCTCCTCCAGGAGTTTATCCTGGAAAACAGATTGAGGAGTGATGCCTTACAGTCACATAAACAAAACAGTGGGCTGCAGGTACAGCAGCAGACACTGAAAACCATGGATGCACAAAACTTTTTACTTAATAAATGATCAGAGATCCATTTTGAAGAGTGTTTCTGTTGAAAAGCAACAACTAATTCCTCTAAACAGCCTCTGTTGAGAGAAACAGCTGACAGCTAGTGAAAGCTCTACATAAAAAAAATCACAGAAATCTTTGTAACGCCTAGACTGAGCTGATTTCAGGCAATGGCAACACCTTTTGGCTTCACTCAGGCTAGCCGTTAGCTTGTCTAAAGGACCTAAACTCCATTTCTCTAAACTGAGGCTTTGCAGGAAGCCACTTATGACAAGTGGTGTAGAAACACATCTTCTTTAAAGCTTTCTCTTTTTGTTTTATTAACAACAACAAAAGTAACACGTTTGGGACAAAAAGGATGACCTTTAACCTTATAGGCTTTCATCAAGTCCAGCGGATCCACTGTGGGCCCTTCCAGTGGGTCCTGGTTCTGTAGCAGCGTTCTCACCGTCTCCTCCATGCTGGAACCAGAGGAGACACTGGTTAGACTGGATTTACTACACCTGATCCTGTTGGCTTTAGTTGGAAGTGAAGCAAGATAAAAGATCAACCCAACCTCAGATATAATGTTGGAGTACTGGTGACCTAATTATGATAGATGTTTATTCAGGGTTGTTCCTGGCTCAAACTGAGGCAGAGGTGGTACCATCCTGACCACACGCCAGCACATGCATACTCTGTACATTCAACTGCCTCACTTTTTAAAAGGCTAAATATTTTAAAAGGCTCAATAATATGCATTAGATTAGTGTTTAGTTCCCTTTTTCCCATCTGATATTTATAGTTAAAATATTTTAAAATATTTGACCCACATTTCAGTAACATTTTAGATTTGTATTAATAACACTCATCTACGTCAAACTTTCCGTTTTGCCTTGGCCCCCAACATGCCTTGAAACGGCCCTGGGTGTGTGACTGAGTGTTGAAGGTGATCTGAATTGTATCAGATGTATAATTATTACACATGTATAACTTGTTGTTTTATACAGGTAAAAACATGTAGTGGAGACAAATCTACCTACATTTGACTTTCAAGCTTTGCTGTTTGGATGTGACTATTTTCCTGTCCTGTCTGTCTCTCATCTTCCTGCATCTCCTCTAAACTCTCCAGAAAAACTGCTGCCTGGATTCTTACTTTTCCACCTCATCAGTTACTTTTGAGTAGATCACAGGGATCTCCTGACCGCAAAGCGGAGAGCGCGTTTCAATGCATCGTCAGTGATGTGAAATCACCGCAGCACACGATGAGCGGAGCGCGTCAGGAACGATTAAAAGACAGAATACCAGAGGATATGAACAGATATGAACGATCATGTGTTAATATTGGAGTTTTGTTGCACCACCTTGAGAATGTATCATGTGCTGGACGCAGCGGGCGCACCAACGATCAGCACGCTGTGTCCTCTCCGCTCAACAGAGTCCCGCTACGCTGAAAGTCCATAAATATTGTAATATAGGCAGAAACTGGATCTTTCCCTGAAAGATATCTAGCCCCCATAATTCGACCCCTGCCCCTGGATGAAAAACAGGACATTTTGATCAATGTAGGAAACCGCCCCGGACAGAGAATGAAAAGTGGACATGTCCGGGGTAAAGGGGACGTATGGTCACCCTACAATAGCACCAACCATAGATATGTACCAACTAGCAAGAAAAGTAATTTTTGATCTTCTTTTTCTGCTGCGGTTTTTGCACTTTTCGGTGCACCGCTGCTGATACAGCGCCCCTACAGTGGTGCAATGCTGCAACTGCAGTTAAAATAACATCCATATGGGGCAGAGTGAAATCAGGCTGGGGCGGCACAAAAATAGCTGGAGGCGGCCGCCACGCAAATTTGAACGCAGGAAAAAAACTTTTTATTACACACGGATCTTTTCACAAGTGTAGAGATTAACTACATACTAGAATCAACACTGTTTGCTATCAGTTGTTAGGTTCTGAGAATGACCGAGCATATTAGCATATGAGCTTATATCATGTATAAATATCCAAGATACTTATAAAATCAATAGAAGCTCATACACCAATTCACATGGTCTAATTTTAATCCAAAGATTAATGTTTAATTTAAGGTAATTAAATTTTGTAGCAAAAGTTTATTTTTGAACCAGAAGCTAGGAATCTTTGCTTTTCAATAACCAGTCAGTCTTATTCAATAATCCGGCGAGCCATTCTTTCAAAATAAAAACGCTATTTCTGTGTTTTATTTTCAATATTTTACTAAAAACGGGAGTTGTGTCACCGTAATTTTCTTCCTCCGGAAGCTTCCGGGAGGGAAGCTTTTTGAGGTAACACCGACATCCGGTATGAACATTTGGCAATTCTGACGCAGCGGTTATATGGCGTCAGAGGCGTGCCACAACCCGTGCACGCGGATTGGGTCCACATCGCGCGTGTGAACGGGACTCGCGAGTGAAAAGATACATGGCGAGAGGTCATTTGTGCACTGAGAGGGAGCAAACTGTGTCTGTGAGCGCACAAGGATGTGCACAAGTGACAAATCTGCGTGCGCTCGTTGCCAACGAGCACACGGCAGAGGAAAACGTGCGCGTGCGGCAGCCCCTCTGCGCACTCGGTTTCTGACTCCTCTCGCTCGGCTGTAAGGGGTTTTGGCACTCTGGAGGCGTGGCCTGTGGCAGATCTTCTCTGTCCTCTGATTGGTTAGTTTACCCCGCACTTTACCCTCTACCTATCTATATAAAAGAATCTGATATACAGTAGTTGCTGGCATAGCTCAGCTGGGAGAGCGGGTGACTCTCCCTCTGGAGGATCCAGGTTCGAATCCAGGCAAGGAAAATAGAGTAGATGTTGTGTTATTTTTTCCTAATTCCTGTGATATTACTTTACAGTTGTGACCGTTCAACTGTCATTAAACGTCCGAATGTTTGCTGGGCAGTGTTTTAAAAAGTGCACATAAGCTAGATAGTTTTAACCATATAAAATTATATTTTTTGTGATACTGGAAAAATACATACTGAAATAAAACTACTGATTGAAAACTTTATGACTGTGGTTGTACAATATATGACTCACTAATACACTGCAAACTCCCTTAGAGTGGGGCTTCCAGAGAGAGAGAGAGGGAGAAAGAGAGAGAGAGAGAGAGAGAATTTGTATTCTGTCAAAGTTGTAATATTACTTCAGCCACTCATATAAATAATTTAAATGTTAATTTTATGAAATATTTCTATTTTTTCATTACCTCACCCTTGTTTTGACAAAAACAAGACCTTGCTGGATAATATCATGGAGAAACTATTTGTTTACAGTACTTGGCTCAGTGAGGATCTGTGTACCAAAGGAGGAGATACTCAGAAATCTGTCTGCAGATTGTTACAACCCAGACTGGAAGTGGTGGGCTGTAATAAGAAAGGAGACCAAACAGAGGAGTGGGGGTTCAACAACTGATTTATTTAACCAAAGTAAGGATTTACTAAAGCAAGTTAGTGAACAGAAAATGGCCATCTCAAGGTTTTACTCGGATGTCCCTCAGCAGGGTGCAGCACTGTTGAAGGTCATCTGAATGAAAGCTTGATATGCAGCTTCTTTATGAAAGTGTGTAAATATACAGTGTGGTTGCCGTACATGTGTTGAGGTTCTCAGACATCAGGCTTCTTTGCCCAGGCCTTCACTAGTGGGCTATTTTAAAAGTTGGTAAGGAGAAAAACCACAGCATATAGCTGATTGCTTACAAATGCAAGGAGGGGAATAACAATCAAAAAGCTTGTGTTCTTGGACCAGATGAATGGAGCGCTCCACATGCACTCTCAGACATGTTATGGCTTCTGTTTCTATAACTTCACATGCAGACATTTGAGGTTTGCCAGAAAGGAAAGCTGGCCTGTACACTTTGCAGGGCACAATGTCATCAATGAAGAAACCCCTGTCTACCATGATGACCATCTCTAGTTGTAGCATTTTCAACACACCAGATTCCCAGGTTGGTCGCTGATAGTTCCAGCATACAGTGCTGAGACAAAGGTCACTGGCCTATGTGGCACAATCCAAATGAGCCTCTTCAGAGTGCAGTTGAACTTGAGGAAAATATATGACTCTGGAAGAGAGGGGAATATGGCCATTGACACCTCAGATCAGTGCAGTCAAGAATTACTGGTGTTTGGGTAGTCCTGAACGTGTTGTGATGCCCCCACCGTCTCATTGGGTTTTCATTTGTGTTTAATTGTGTTTTTCTTCTGTTGTAGGCAGCTCGTTAAGCAGCCTTGGAGGCACCTGGGCTCAGGGTGTGGTGCTGCCTACAAAGCCTACTGTTTTTCTGCTTTCACTGGGTCTCTCCTGTGTGGTGGAGAGACCTCACTGGCCATTTTCTGTTCACTAACTTGCTTTAGTAAATCCTTACTTTGGTTAAATAAATCAGTTGTTGAACCCCCCACTCCTCTGTTTGGTCTCCTTTCTTATTACAGCCCACCACTTCCAGTCTGGGTTGTAACAATCTGCAGACAGATTTCTGAGTATCTCCTCCTTTGGTATACAGATCCTCACTGAGCCATGTACTGTGAACAAATAGTTTCTCCGTGATATTATCCAGCAAGGTCCCGTTTTTGTCAAAACAAGGGTGAGGTAATGAAAAAATAGGAATATTTCATTAAATTAACATTTAAATTATTTATATGCATCATTAAACTAAAAAAAACATGTTTTGAAATATATAAAGTGAACCAAACTTGACTCAGTCCATTCAACAATTCTAAATGGACAATTAAGTAACTCATCAATTAATTATTTGAAAGGATAATTTGTCAATTAAATGCTGAAAAAAAATAAACAATACATTAATGAGGCAAGAACTTTTTAAACTTGAACATACCTACACCCACAAGTCTATTTTTACCTGGAGTCTCCTCTCAAGAGTGGCTGAAGTAATATTACAACTTTGACAGAATACAAATTCTCTCTCTCTCTCTCTCTCTCTCTCTCTCTCTCTCTCTCTCTCTCTCTCTCTCTCTCTCTCTCTCTCTCTCTCTCTCTCTCTCTCTCTCTCTCGAAGCCCCACTCTAAGGGAGTTTGCAGTGTATTAGTGAGTCATATATTGTACAACCACAGTCATAAAGTTTTCAATCAGTAGTTTTATTTCAGTATGTATTTTTCCAGTATCACAAAAAATATACTTTTATATGGTTAAAACCATCTAGCTTATGTGCACTTTTTAAAACACTGCCCAGCAAACATTCGGACGTTTAATGACAGTTGAACGGTATGGCGTTTGAAGCGTGCCACAACCCGTGCACGCGGATTTGGTCCACAGCGCGCGTGTGAACGGGAATCGCGAGCGAAAATATACATGGCAGCGCGCGTGTGAACAGGACTCGCGAGCGAAAATATACATGGCGAGAGGTCATTTGTGCACTGAGAGGGAGCAAACTGTGTCTGTGAGCGCACAAGGATGTGCACAAGTGACAAACCTGCGTGCGCGCGTTGTCAACGAGCACAAGGCAGAGGAAAA